ATGTTCTGAGGTCCTTGCTTGGGTGGGGGTGCAGGGGCCGCAGTAAGTACGCCTGGGCCTGGACCTCAACCAGGCCCTGCATAGGTGAGCTGGGCTATGCCGTCCTTGATGGCAGGGAAGTCTGGGAGGCCAGTGTGATGGAGGCGGCAGCGGTAGCGGCCACAGCTCTTGGTGTACTGCAGGAAGCGGGGTGCACCAGGGAAGAGCACATGGTCAGCTAACACAGTGGCACCAGCTGGCAGCAGGGCGTGGGCCTCCAGCAGCTGCAAGTCCCGCAGGTAACATCGGGGCCGGTGTGCCAGGAGCACCAAGTCTGCCCGACTCAGCTGGTACTGGGTCCGTAGGCGTGGGATCACCTCCTCTGATCTACCCACGATGAGCTCTACCTGTGGGGGTGGGAGGAGCTGGAGGTGAGGGTGGGAGGGATTGTTCTCCAAAACCAGACCCCACCAGGATCTGGCTTACTTTATGCCAGGCCCTGGCCCAGGTCTCTACAAGTGTTCTCACATTTCCTCTGGCCTCAGAATCCAATGTGATTTCCATTCTGCCAGTGAAGAAGCTGAGATTCAGAGGATAAGAGCTTTGCTCAGGGTCACACAGCTAACAAGGCAGACTAAGGTTTGGACCCAGATTTGCTGGGCTCCAGAGGCCTTTCCCTTAACTGCCGCTTTGTCATCTAGTGGCAAATATGTGCAAATGACTTTGAACAGGAGCTCACACGCCCTCCCACAGTCCCCTAAGTGGAGCTGCTTCCTTTTCCTAGGTGGGGTTCCTTCACAGGGGAGGCCTGGCCTGGGCAAGGCCTGGGGAAGCAGGGAAGAGACCAGGGTTGGGGAGGTGGGAGCTGACCGTGCGCTCGTCGAAGCCAGCCAGGCGGATGAGTTTTTCAGCCACTGCTGCTGTGCGTGGGTCCTGCTCCACAGTGAGAAGGCGACCTCCAGGGGGCAGGGCACGGGCAATAAAGAGTGTGGAGTACGCGCAGTAGGTGCCCAGTTCCAGCACACTAGCGGGGGCCTTCTCTTCCACCAGCCGCATCAGGATCTGACCTATGGGGGAGATGGCTATTGAATCAGACATGGGAGATGGATGCAGGGCCCCTGATAGAAACGGATCTCAAATGCCCACCTGCCTTACTGTAGCCCCCAACCAGCTGGGGTCTCATCTCTCTCCTGGACTATAGCCCCAGCTGCCCCACTGGTCCCCCTGTCCTCCAGGCTTGCCTCCTTCAGTCTAGTCTTCACACTAGCCACTAGGAATCTTTCTAACAAATCTGACACTATCACTCCCTGGTTCCTGTGATCCTAAAGGCCATTAGGATTGACCTTGGGATCCTCAGCCTGACACTCAGGACCTTCTTGCACCTGATCCTACCCTACCTCTCCAGTTTCAGCTCCCAATTCTTCCCAGCTGTAGCCTGTACTACAGCCATCCCAAACAACCAAGCCCAGAGTCAACCATGGTGGCTCATTCCTCCATGCCGCATTTGTACGTGTGGCTGGCTTTTCCCTTCCCCACCCCTATCCTCATCTGCCTGGCCAACTTGAAAGCAATCCTTCTAGGCTCAGTTCAAATGTTGCTTCCTCCAGGAGGGCCTGGACAGAAACAACTACCAGGCTTCTGAGAGACCATCTTCCAGGTTCCTGAGAGACCTTTGTTAGAGCTTCCAGTTTTATTCCCCCTTGTTTTGTTCATTGAATATCTTTCTAACCTTGAATGAATTTCAAAGAATTGAATGAATTTCTTAAATAAGACTTTAAAAGCACTTGTGCTGGGAGCTGGGACTCAGATCCAGGCAGACAGCTACCCTGAATGGGATGTGGGCCCCTCCATGGTGGGGAAGAAAGACTCATACACAGATAATTACGAAGTTATGGCTTATGTGCTGAGATGGTCATTCCCCTCTGTATTATGCCTCCTTTAGGCCAGCACTTGTGGCTGATTCGTCCCTGTGGCCTCTACCTCCTCCCCCAGTGCCTAGCGCATGCCTGGTACAAAAGAGGTGGCAATAAATGTTTGCTGGATTAATGAGTAACCTTGCCCAGCCCCCTCATTTCCAAAGGAGAAAAAGAGACCCATAGAAGATGAAGAACTTGCCCAGTCCACCCAGTAAGGCAGTGGCAGATCCCAGATCTTCCTTCACCGTCTTGGGGGTGCTGCCTGGAGCAGAAGGCTAGGGAACACTGACCTTTGATAGGCCCCATGTGGCTCAGGTACTCGCAGTGGCTACTCCAGTGGTCCAGGGTGGTGAGGATATGACCAGGGTCCCCAGGCAAGGTGTGGGTGAGGACATAGCTGAAGGCCCGCTCCTCAATCCGCAATCCTGACAGGCAGTCTCGGAGGCTCCGCAGCAAGACTGTGCGCACTAGCAGTCGAAAGTAGTGCCGGTACCGCACGAGCAATGTCACCACCAGTGGCAGGAAGGCCAGCGCGATGGCGGGCGACATGGTCCCTTACCTGGGCCCTGGGGTGGAGGGAGGCAGGGAGAAAAACTCAAACCCACCATTTGCCTGTCATTTGTGCAGCCCTTACCAGTAGCAGTTATTATCCCTATATTTTACAAACCATAGCTCAGAAAGGGTAAGTCTTTTGTCCAGAGTCACACAGCAGAACTGGGATTTGAATCCAAGTTGGTCTCATTCCAAGCCTGTGTACTTTCAAGGATTTCATGCTGGTCTAAGTTCAGCACCCAACCCCAAACCACCTCTTCCCACTTCCGAGCCCTGGTCCTATCTTCACCTTGCTTCCCCTACCTGTTTCCCCACATCTCTGTAGTGACCCCTTCTTCAAGACCCCCTTCACCAGTTCCCCTCTGAGATATTCTCCCCCACCTTGCCCCCTGCCTGCTTGATCTCCTCTGACCCATTACTTTGCAGCAAAAGAACACAGCTTTGTAGTGAGAAACGCCTTCAGTCACTGTGCTCTGCCTTAGTAAAAGGCAATCAAAACACTCCATAGGGTGTCAGGATAAGATTCCTTCCCACCCCAGGACTCTCCCTGGCTGCTCTTCCCTGGGGGTGAGAGGCGTCCTTGATTCTGTATTTCTTCTCTAGTCCTATCTCCCCTCCCCTGCATTCCCCTCATCTCCTGTTGCCTCTCAGAATTCCCTTCACAAGGATATACATACACATACACACAGCACACACTTCACCCCTACCCCCAGGCCTCTTCTCCCGGGCTCCCTATGGGGGATAAGTGCCCTCTCCTCTCCCATCCCCTGGACCATTCTCTCCCTCCTCCAGATCTGACCCTTGTGAGGCCCCTGGTGGTGGTGGGGACTAAAAATGAAAGTGAAGTTGTATCAATGGGTGTGAACAGGTGAGTGGCGATGTTGGGGAACCCACACTCTAAAGCCCTACTTACCTGAGCTGGAGACTCCTGCTTAGGGAAGATCAGAGCAGAGGAGAGGAGGGGGAGTCGTTGTGAGCAAAGAACCCTGAGGCAGGCTGGACCTGCTCTCAATTATTGATGCTGAGGCTGCTGCTGTCACCTGAGACCTGCAGTTCAAGTTACTAGCCCCCGGGGATAAGCTGGAGCTGACTCTTACCCTTTGGGAGCCCACAAAGTACTTACAGAACTCCTCCAGGGTCTTGATTTGAGGGGTAATAAGAGCTACTGGGTTTGGTGACTCCACAACCCCTTGGATCATGACAAGGGGCATCGTTTGAGCCAAGGTGATAGGGAGGTTGTAATTAACTCATTAATTCAAAATTCAAGTCTTCTCTAAGCAAGTGCCAAGGCTTGGGTCCCAGAGAAGAGTCAGATACTGTCTCTGTCCTCCAGGAACTCGAAGTTTGGTAGAAGAGACTGACCCAAGAACAGAGAATGTGGTGCTTCATGAATACAGGGAATTGTTGGCTGTTTTGTGAACTGATGCATATCCAGATAGAACAGTGTGGCACATTGCACACTCTCACTGAATATTTGATTCAATAAATGAATGAATCAATGCTGGCTAGAGACTAAGCAGGAGAATATTGAGTCTTGAAGACACAAGGCAGACCCAATGAGGAGACTGTGACAGGCTACATGTACAAAATCCAGGAGGTCGATCGGGAAACTGCAAGTATTTCCCTATGGCTGGTGAGGCATCCAGCCAACCCCTCCAACACCACCACCACCACCACCACCACCTCCCCTCCCTCCAACCCCGCGCATTAAGTGGAAGACAGGTATCAGGCTCTGCAAGATCTTGAATGACAGACTTGGACCTGTGTTCAGGGTCCAAGAGAAGACATGGGATAGCTCTAAGAACAAGGCACTGATGGTCAGCTTCGCGTGTTAGATTACTATGGCTGCTGCAAAACAGCAGAACAGAAGAGATGCCTGAGGGCACGGAGATCTGTGAGGTGGCCTTTATCTCTATCAGGATTGAGCTCCACTCCACTTCGGCTTGTGAAGGTATAAAGTCACTTCTTCCATTCTCAGGTCCCCAGTCCAGACTGAGAATTCAGTTGGGCGCCACACCCTCCATGAGGGCCCTGACTTGGCGTGGGGAATTTGGGGCCAATGTGCGTAGACCCAGACTGGGCGTTCTAGGAGCATAGGGCCTGGATCCCACTCGTCTCCCGCATGGCATTCAGAAAAGCATATCATGATGGCATTTGGTATAAGTCGGCTCACTGGCCCAGAAGGGTGGCCACGCGAGCACATACTAGCACTCACTCGACGGCCTCTATGGCCCTTGATAGAGGACTGGATCTCAAAAACTGGGAAGGCGCTGAACTCACGTGATCCGCCTCTCCCTTTCCTCGCATCACGTGTCTGGAGTCTTGTCCCGCAGGGTACGCCTTCCCATTGGTTGGCGGTGATCACGCGGTGGGGGCGGGGCCGGAAGCCGGGGTTTCGGCCGCAGGGGCGGCAGCCAAGCGGCTCGCGGGAGGGGTAGGCGTGGGGGTGGGTGTTTGCTTGCTGGTTGCAGCCACGGGTCATGTGACCGGAAGGGCTCCTGACGGACGCCGTCCCTTCTCGGCGCGGCCTGAGCGCCCGGCCCGACCCCGGCCATGGGGTGCTGCTACAGCAGCGAGAACGAGGACTCGGACCAGGTGCGGCCGCAGCGGGCGGGGCTCGGGAATGAGGGCTGAGTCCCTAGGACATGGGGCCCGGAGAAAAGCCTGCTGAAGGACGGGAGCTGGACTGCGGGTCTCACTGAGTACGGAGGCCCGGAGGGGACAGATTACAGAGGGGACGCCGGGCCGGGCTCCTACCGCTGTTAAAGCCCTAGTTCTCTCTACACAGTCCCCACCTTGGGGTGTGTAGCCAGCCGCCTGTCTCTCTCGCTCCTACCTCTTCCATGCCCCCGCTACCCTCAAGCCTTTACAGCTTCAAAGATCCTCAGCTTGGGTTCCTGGGAAGCACTCCCTTCCCAGCTTCCTGTGCCTTTTCTGTGCTTGTATTAACGGGCTTTGTGAATCCATTGTAGAGGTGGGTAAGCTGAGGCTCTTGTTAGTTTGTCCCGAGATGAATCAGGAATCTGGCTATCCTCTCAGTCCCTGGGGTTGCAGAAGGGAGGTCACTGTTGGTCTGGGGGCAGAGAAGGCCTCTGGAAGTTGGTGGTATTTGAGTTGCCCAGTGAAGGATTTAATAGACAATGAGGACATCGAGACGTGGGAAATTATTTGGGAAGCAACAAATCGGGTTTAACTTTGGCTGGACTGGAATAGAGAGAGAGGATGGGGAGCTCAGTTTGGCTTGCTCCAGTGCAGTTTTTGCCTGGGGCCTGAGGGTTCCTCTAGCTAGAGGGGTGCCTGTCCTGGGAATTTGGCTGTAGATCTGATCCCTTTGCAGGAAGGATTAGGCTGGGGAGACGTACAGTTTCAAATTCTCTTTCTTCCCCTTGGTGCATTCTCACTTCTCACCCCACTGTAATCCCTGCGCTGCCCATTTGACCTCCTCTGAGGAGGGGGAGACCTTTCCAAGGATGAAGTCTCGATCTGTTGGCCACTCATCTTTTAAGCCTGGGTTCTATATTTCAGCACATATTAGATACAGAGACAGTAGAAAGGTTTCGGCAAGTAGCTCAGAGTCTAGTGGGGTGGATGGGCACAGAAATGGATTATATCACTGGTACTTGGGAAGTAGGTCTTTCCCCAGTGACTCAACCTATTTTGGGGTAGTATGGAAAGCTCGGAAAAATGTCATTTATTTGGGAGGCATGGGTGGCTCCTGGGCCTCATTAATTCTCCAAACACGCAGTGAACACATACTCATATTTCCTTTGCCTTATGTAGGCATGCCTCATGGCCAATACCTCTCACTTCACTCTAGCCTGTTAGAGAAGGAGACAATATCCCTGCCTACTGGGACAGCTGTGGCCTAGTGGGAAACTGTCCCTTAAAGCATCATATGGACTCTTGCAGAGAATGAGTTAGGAATGGTTAATGCCCTGTGAGAAAAGACACCAGCTTCTGGTTGGGAGAACTGGGCTTGCTGCTCTCCTGAGTCTCCACCTTCCCCTTGATGGGCTCTGGCTTCTGTTTCTAGCCCCCAGAGATGGTGCTGGATCAGGGCTGGGTGATTTGAGGTCTCATGTGGCAAACGTCTACTTACTGGTGTACAAGCCATAACCTTTCACTATCCCAAAGTTCCTCTTTCAGCTTTTGGGCAGGCCCCTCTCCCACTTTCATCTCTGCGCCTCTGTTAGAATAATAAAAAGAAATGTACATCACATGACAGTTTTCAAAGGCCTTTTACAGTTATCTCATTTGACTCTTGCCAAACATCTCTCATATAGGTACTGGTTATGTCTATTTAAAGATGGAAAAAGTTCACACAGGCTAAGTGATTTAGCCAAGACTGCAAAGCTGGGAAGCGTCATAGCTCAGGTGTTTTGATACCAAGCCGTATGGTTTATCCATTGGGCCAAGCGGTCTCTTCCAGCTGTACCCACAGACCAGGTGGCCAGTCGTGGGCAGGCCACATATGTGTCTGTGCTAGGGTTACAGTGAAACCCTGACTCTTGGGTTGACATTGACTCAGGGACAAACCTTGGTGTGAAAAACCTCCCCTGTGCTCCACTTGCCCTTTGGGGATAGGGTATTATTTGTCCACTCTGATGGGGGTAGCCTGGCCTCTTCTGGGACTCTCAGTCTCAGGAAAACCACCTTGTTCTTGAAGAACCCCTGATAGGGGAGAAACTGCCCTGTCCTCCAGGAAGATCTGTCTGAAGAGGGGCTGGAGGAAGGAAGAACACAGAGGAAGCAAACTCAGACTTCATTGCAGAGCCAGCTTTCCTTAGGGACAGTTTATTCTTTGGCAACATTTTGTCTTTCTAGCTCTTTAATACTTAGCCTGTGTTTTAGGGAGGAGAAGGGGTCTCTAGGAGTTGGGAGGTGATGGGACAGAGGCCCACAGGCTGTTGGGAACTGAGGATACTGCAACAACTTTGGCTTAAGAAGGAAGAGTAATGTGGAAAGGCTGGGCCTGCCTTGGGTGGGGCAGGCAGGGTAGGAGGAAGTGGCCCTCTGTAAGGAGAGTTGTGGCATTGTGGGCAGGGGAGCTGGGAGCCTGCAGTGGGAAAGTCTGTGGTAGGAACTGAGATAGGCCTAGAATGGAGCACTGAGGAGTCTGGTGGTCTGGCACTGAGGGTTGGTGAGTCAGCATTAGCCAGGATGGGCCCCTTGTCCTTAGCTTTGTCCTGGGCACCTTTGCTCTTTATGGCTTGGATAGATACCCAGCAGCTCTGCTTATCCAATTTGCAGTGGACACAAAGCCAGCAGGGATTTGCAGCAGATGGGCTCAATGCAGGGTCATATCCAGAGAGATTGCAGTAGATGAGAACAAGGGACTGAAACAGGACAAGGAGAAATACACAGAATTATACAGGACCAGGGAGACTTGGTTTGGCCCCAGGTAGTTCTGAGGGTTGTGATTATCAGTGTAGGCTAGCAGTAATAGGGCTGTGGAAAATTGTGAAGCCAAACACATAGAGGTGTGGTGGCTTGGCAAGGGAGGGAACAGCTCCACTGTTCAGGTCAGGTTGGGATACACCAGGTGCACCAAGTTTGGTTGTGGGGGCCCATACAAAGAGAGCATCAGAGAGGAGAGTGAACACCTGAGAGTAGAAGGGACCTGCCCTCAGGAAGGGAGCACACTTGGACTGTGTGACCCAGAGGCTGTGACTGGGACTCCTGCCCTGAGATAATGTGAGGAATGGCCATTGAGAAGTTGGGCTTGCTTTCCCTTGGGGCTTAGGGCCTTGTCTGGCCTCCCAGGACCTCTCCATCCTAGGAGCAGATAGCCTTGCTGGGGAGGGCCATTCTTGGGCTCCTGACTTGCATCAGTTTCCCCTCTAGACACCACTCCTCTGGCTTCCCACCTCCTCGAGTTTCTAGCCTCCAGTACCCTTTCTCTACCAGGTGCTGGACTATTTTCTGAAGCACTAGGGCTGTTACTGAATACCTGCTTTATGCCTCTGTCCACCTTTTTCAGGGCCTCTAGGCTCCCAAGTTGCAGGCAGGAACTGAGTCTTAGCTGATATTCCATACAGCTGGGCACTTGGAATATCCCCAATAAAAATATTTTTTGGTGCTTAAAGGTCAGCACTGGGCTGGGAGGAGAGCCCAGGAAAGGCAGGTTGGACTAAGGGCCCTGGGGCTGACTTCTCCCCCATGGCCTCTCCTAGGACCGAGAGGAGAGGAAGCTGCTGCTGGACCCTAGCAGCCCCCCAACCAAAGCCCTCAATGGAGCCGAGCCCAACTACCACAGCCTACCTTCTGCTCGCACAGATGAGCAGGCGCTGCTCTCCTCCATCCTTGCTAAGACAGCCAGGTGAGAACCACAGGACCAAGCCTGGGGCAGAGCTCCTCCATCCGTGTTAAAGGTTAGGATAGAGGGAGCTGGGCCCGGGACATGGGGGATGGGACAGAGTCGGGGGGAGAGGTACCTCTGGGCCCAGCCCTGCTCCAGTGGGCAGGTGGGGACACTGGTGTCAGATAGCCCTAGAGTTAGCACTTGACAGCGTCTGTCCCTCTCGAAGCACCTGTCATGTCCTCTCTACCTCCTCTCCCCAAAGCAACATCATTGACGTGTCTGCTGCTGACTCCCAGGGAATGGAGCAGCATGAGTACATGGACCGGGCAAGGCAGTACAGGTGAGCACCTGACCAGGTGGGGACCCTCAGGCTACTTGGGCTCTTCTCTGCCCCTTCATCCCTGATCCAGCTTTGGAGCCTAGGCCCCAGTCTAGGCTCTCCATTTCGGTGCAGCTCAGGAGACCACCACAAATCACTCGGCCACCTCAGTAGATGTTCATGTCAGCCCTTTTTGCCCTGTGACACCCAAGGGTGCGGGGGCCAAGGCAGGTGGCCCCAGAGTGAGTTTGTGGTGAGCTGAGGACCTGTCACCCTGCTTCTCTGGCCCGAGGGAGTGAGGCTTGCCTGGGCTGGGCTGGGCAGACTGTGGCCTGACTGCCCACCCTCACCCCTCCCTCTTGGCCAGCACCCGCTTGGCTGTGCTGAGCAGCAGCCTGACCCACTGGAAGAAGCTGCCACCACTGCCATCTCTCACCAGCCAGCCCCACCAAGTGCTGGCCAGCGAGCCCATTCCCTTCTCCGACTTGCAGCAGGTGAGTCACCCCTCGCCCCCGCCTTCCCCATTTCTACTCTGGCCAGGCTGTGGCAGAGGGCTCACCCTCTCTGCCTCAGAGGAGGTAGGGAAGTGGAGTGAGGGAGCCTGGTAGCTTCTGGGCCCCACTCACTCCCACCTCAGTCTCATTTTTTCTTTCCTCCCTCTCGCTTCCCCTCAACCTTTATTCTCTTTGTCCTCTTTGGTCTTTTCCTTCTGTCTTTCTCATCCCTGCCTTTCTCTTTGGCTTCCTGTCCCCCATCATCCCCTCCTCTCTCCTGTTTCACTATCCAATTCCCCTCCCTCTGCTTTCTGGATCTCCCTTCTCACTGTCTCTCTCTGTTCCTCTCCTCCCCGGTCCCTCTGTCTCAGGTCTCCAGGATAGCTGCTTATGCCTACAGTGCACTTTCTCAAATCCGTGTGGACGCAAAAGAGGAGCTGGTTGTACAGTTTGGGATCCCATGAAGAGAGGGGTCCTTGGACAGCTCTTCTCCTCTCTTCACCCCGTCTCCACCCTGCCTCCCCTGGCCCCCCAGCCTCACTGCGGCTTATACAGTACCCTAACCTGCTACTAATCACAGAGAAGAATGTGGAGGCGGAGAAGAGCAAGGCTAGAAGCCTGAGCAAGTGAGGATGGAGCAAGGGAGGGTAGAACCATTTGGGACTAGCCTTCGAAGCCCTGGCCAGGGGTGGGGTGGGGTCAAAAGGACAGGGCTTGATAGGTCTTCACTGTCACTGGGGAGGTGGAGGTACCACTGTGAGGGTGATCATTAGGGGGCCTATGCGGGCCCCCTTCCCACCCTTTCTCTTAGCCTCACTCCTGTCCCCTGCTCCCTGACTTGGTGCTCGCATGCACCTCACTAGGGTTTGTGACCAGGGTCTGGACAAGCTTGCATTTGAATGAATTGAGTTTGTATTTCTAGCACCCTGGGTTTTTACATGTTTGGGGTTTTTTCGGTTTTGTTTTGGTTTGTCACCCTCGATAAAGGAAGTGTATTCATCTGTGTGCTGGTTCCAGCCCCTCTGTCCTGCCCACCACCTTACTGCTTTTGGCTACTCAAGTCTGTGAGTAGCAAGATGGATGAGGGGGAGGGGGGCATCTTCTAGGGGGCACTAAGAGGGATCCAGGAGATAAGGGTTCAGGTCTTAGCTGAGACTCAGGCTGAGCTAACTCATATTGGATTAAGACTGTGCTTGTCCCTTCTCCAGTGATGGGAACACTGTCAAAGCTCAACAAACTTGAATCTGAGGCAGCTGTCACTGATGGGGGCCCTGCCTCAGGCTCAGTGGAATTCCCAGCAAGCCCGGTGGTGGGGAGGGGTGCAGGCAGACCAGGAGCGCCTAATACGGAGCCAGCAAGCCAGTGTTTTCAAGCAGAAGATTCTTTTTATCAAATGAAGTCTCAAGCAGAATCCCAACATATAAAACATCAAGAGTGGAACTATTCTGATCTGATTGAAGTGGGGTTCAGGGATCACAGCCCATCTCCTTAGCCTCCTGTCATGGAGGCATCTCCACAAGACCTTGATGCTCTATAAAGCAACTCTAACCCCAGGATGTCTGAGCTGAAGAGTAAAAAAGGGCTCAGAGAGGTTAGAAAGTTTCCCAAGGCCATGCAGTAAACCCACATCCCCTGTGTCCCAGGCCCAGGGGCCTTCCCCCCCCAACCCCCGCCTTCAGTGAAGTAAGGCCAGAGCTACTGGCAGTTGCCCGAGTTGGACAGCATTTTTACATGGTACAAGTGGCTTCTGATCTGAACAGCTCAACTCGTTTATTATCAAACCAAACTGGTCATCTTTGGGCCTTTAGGACTGCTGGGGTCCTCGGAACCTCACAGTGTATTCTGCTTGATCCGGACCTTCTTGGGCTTGATGTTCATGCGTTTCCACACTTCAGCTGTGGTGCGGTCTGCTTTGGTGACCCCACTGAAGTCGAACGTGGTGACACAGGGCAGGGTGCACAGCACATATTGCCTGTGGGGAAGACTCGGGCTGGGGGCCAGCCCCCCAACCAGAACCCCTTTCGCCCTCCAACCAGTTGCTGCTATCTCCCCTGGCTGCAAGGAATGGAGGGACTTCAGTATAGTTTGAGGGAGACTGAGTTTATCCTGACTGATAGCAAGAAATGCTTAAAGGTCTCTACACCCTGCCCTGATCCCAGCATGGCAGAAGGATGGTGCTGGATTTCTTGTCTCCCTTCCTCCTTCTGGAGAGCCCAGCTGGAGCCTAGCTCCAGGGGTAGAGCACTTACCTATACCCCTTCTCTTCCTCTATGGGGTTCCCATGGAGTGTCAGGCTCCGGAGCCGAGGGAGGACAGCCAGCTTATTCACCTCTCCCAGGCGCTGGATGCTGTTGCCATGAAGATAGAGAACACTCAGGTTGAAGAAGGTTGTCAGGACCTGTTGGGGAAGGAAACCAAAAGCCAGGCTGGACGGGGCCCTGGATCCATGCTCAGGACTGACTTGCAGGCAGAGAAAGACGAGTTTGGGGAACAACTTGTCCTCCACCCCCGCTCCCCTATGGCCATACTAGATGACTCCAACCTACTTTCATTTACCTTTGAAGGGGTACAGGGGCATCACACTGACACAGAGCTGTGATCTGACAGGCAGGAAGGATGGACCTGCATCCTGGCACTGCCACTGGCTTCCTAGGTGACTGGGCTCTCCTGCCTGTCTCTGAGCCTTAGCTGCTCCTTCACTGAAGACCCTTCTAGCTTTGGTGACCTAAGATTCTATCACAACAGGGGACAGGGATACAGAGCATCATGCTAGGGACATAAGAGCTTTTAAAATGGTAGTTAAATTGAGATCACTATACCCTGGGGAACAGTTTCCAAGTCGTGCTCTAGCTCCTGTCCCCTCTAACAAGGATCTAGACAAGAAGGGGCCAGTTTTGTTTATTTCTTAAAACTTGAGTCAGAGTTTTGGGAAGTGCTGTGCTTTTACTACCTACCTCTTCCACAGAAGAACTCGACTCAAGGCACAGCGGGTGCCTGGTAAGGAGAGCTACAATTTTACTTCAGCCTGCTATGTGCTGGTTGGTTTTCATACATTCTCATTTAATCCTCAGAAAGCCTTTATGATGCTTGCATATTATTCCCATTTTTTAGACAGAGAGGCTGAGGTTTTCAAAGGTTAGGTAGCTTGCTCCAAATCATGAGGCAAATCTAGGATTTGAACCTCCATCTGTCTGAGTCCACAGCCATGTGCTTTGCACAGCACCATGCTGCCTCACTACTTCCTTGATAGTATGTGGGAGGTGGCGAGGCGGGGGGCTGGACAAGGTGGCTTCAGGCCCACCTTGACTGGACTCCCAGGACTGGGAACTCACAGGGTCAATGGAAGTCAGGTCATTGAAGGACAGGTCGATCCAGGCCAGCTTCTCTGGATGCTCCAGCAGCTGTGAAACCACATGGCTGAAGTCTTTCAGATCATTGAGGACATTGTTGTTCAGCCACAGGGACTGGGTCAGTGACTTCCCTGACTTTGAGTGCCTTAGTGGTCGTAGCCCTCTCCTTGGCTCCTCGCTTGTCAGATCTGTGGGAACAAAGTGAGGCTTGGATAGATCATCTTTGCCTTTCTGGCTCTGTGGGGTGGAAGGGACAGAGCTGGAAGGATTAGCAGCCTAACCTGTAGCTGGAGGGGCTGGTAGGGCCTTGCCCTATGCTTGAGTCCAGTGTGACTCTATCTGCTGTCAGCTCAGGACCCTGTCCCACAGATCCCAGCAGTCAGAGTAAGCTTGGACTAAGGGCCAAAGACTTCCCAAACCTTAGGTGTGGGTCACATGCTCCTCTCATGACTGTTGTATCATTGGGTCGTCTGAATACATGAGAGTTGGGGGGCAAATCTATTCCCATTTTATAGATAAAGAAACTAAGAACTAGAGGTGTTGAGCTTGAACCAAGATGATAGCAAAAAATCTAGAATATCTACTGGTAGAGCCTATAGAATTCACTTCAGTGTAACAAACTGATGTCTGGTCTTTCTTTAATATTGAGCAACTGCTATGTGGCAGATGCTGGATATACAATAGTGAGAAAAATGAGAGACAGTCCATGCCAAGCTCTGTATGAGTAATAGGGCAGGGATGAAGCAGATATTTGTGCCTTGGAGGAGCTCACAAGGGCAAGATGGAAACAAACTGGCAATATAGTGTGATCAATGCCATTTAAGTCAAGGAAGTGTAGAACTGGGGCTCCTAACCCAGTCTGGGAGCTGACGGAAGTTTCCCAGGGAAGGTAAAGCCTGAGCTGGATTTCAGTGGGTTAGGAGATGTTAACAAGGCAAGGGTGGAAAGTGTGAGAACAGCATGAGCAAAGAGGTGTGGAACAGCGTGGGCACACGTGCATGTGCTGCACAAGGGGGCAAGGAGGAAAAAGACGAGGACCCTTGAATGTCAGGCTGAGTATCTTGGACTTCATCCCATAGGTGATGGGAAGTCACTGGAGGGTTTAAAGCAAAGGAGAGGATTCAAATCTTTCATTTCAGAGAGGTCACTCTGAAGCTTTAGTGTGGAGTATGGATTTTAGGGAGTGGGTGGGACTGGAAGACCAATTTGGTTCTTTCAGTCATCTAAGCAAGAGATGAGAGGGATGATCAGCATGACTTGATGGCTGACTGGAGGTCACGGTAGAATAATATTCAAGGGTGTTGTCCAGTTTCTTCAAGGGTGACTGGGCAGATGCCAGTTCTATGAACTGAATCAGAATTAGAACAAGAGACACAGGGTTGGGAAAGTGATGAGTTCAACTTGGCCTTGGTGTGTCTGAGGTTCCTATAGTACAAAAAGGTGGAGAAGCCAAGTAGGCAGTTGGATATGAAGGTCTGAAGCTCGGGGGACACACCTGAGAATTGTTAGCAGAGAGGGTGTATAAGTTAGAGAAATAGATGAGATTTTTCAAGGAGAGTGAGAGGTGACAGGAGGGACAAGAAGGAAGGAGAGTCCCTTAAAGAATTTAAATAAATAATCAGAGGAGGACAGGGAAAACCAGGAGAGAATAGTTGTAAAGATGCTCAGGGAGTCCATAGTTTATAAGAGTGAGTTTCAGGGAGATAAGGACTGAAAAGTAATTTTGGCACCTCAGAAGTCCCTGGTGACCTTGGTCAGGGCTATTTCAATGAAATGGCAAGGGCCAGGAGACAGAAGCTAGACTGGAGTGAATTCAAGAGTGAATGGAACGTAAGGAAATATAAGCAGGTAGCATAAATAACGCCCTCAGAGTTTGGTTGAGGAGAACGGAGTAATGTTAGAACCCATTTGTATGGATTTACACCCCTCCCACCCGGCCCCACCTTTTGACAGATGAGATCCAGACAGAGGAAGGGCCCTGCCCAAGCTCATAGTCAGTGAGTGGCAGAGTCAGAACCAGACACCAGCTCTGGCTGAGGTGACTGTATTTTTCCTCTTGTCCCTAAGCCTTTGGTTACTTGTCTACAGCTGCTTCCGGGGAAGTATTTAGTATTCCACAAACCTGGCCAGCCTGTCTTCACCCTCCCCTCAGCTCTTACTGGATACACTTCCTCTCTTTCACCCCCTCCCAATGTTAACTTCCTCTCCTGCTCAGGTGCAGGTTGGGCAGCATCCACCAGATGGCTCTCTGCCTTAGTCCTGGAGTGAGCAGGACCGGTAATTGGGGCTTGAGGTGGGGGGAAGGTGGCAGAAGGGTACTGAACAGGGTACCCCAGCTCATGGATAAATTCCTAATCCTGCTCCCCAGCCTCACATCTCCTGACCGCAACTCTGAAATGAAATGACAAAAATGAATAAAAGTTAAGGTCAAAATAAGCTCACATAATGGACTAGCATCCAGTCTGATGAGGCAGCAGCTTGGGGAATGCCACCAAGCCTGGGCTGATCCCGAGCTCAGAGGGAGCTACTGGTGGGATGGCACTGCCTAAAACTTGAGGCTGCCTGGGGCTGTTGTTATCAAGGGTGGAATAGCGTGTGCAGGCCGCTCCACGTTACTGCTCCCCTCAGACTCCACCAGGGCACTGCACTGCCTGAGGATTGGTTGAAGCTGCCTTGTTCAGAGTAGGCCAAAGCAGGTCTGGAAACGGCCACAGATATCAACACTCAGAGAACTGGGGGTGGACCAGCCCCAGGAAGACCTGGGAAAAACACGATCCTGTCTTCTTATCTCCAAAGGGTTGCCATGCAACTTTTTCCATGTGTCCCCAGAAGGCAGGAGTTAGTATGATATGAAGAAATTCCTTGTGTCATCCCTTACCCCATAATGGAAGGAGTTGGTAGGTGAGTGGGGTAGGGGACTCCCTTAACTGGAGGTTAGTGAGCAGAAGTTAGAGGACTATAGGTTGGAGTCAGTACAGATTAGATGCCTTCGGAAGTCACTACCATTTCAGATTCTATGATCCATCTGTTGATTAATTTAGCAAATAGTGTACTAGTACCCCCAAACTCTACCCTGTCTTCTAACGCCTATTTTATTTTATTTATTTTTTGTTTGTTTTTTGTTTTGTTTTGTTTTTTCTGAGCCTAATTCCTGGCCTCCAGAGCCAACCATCTCTTTGGCTGTATCCCTGGCCCAAAGCTGGCACCAGGGGCTGCTCCCCAAGTTCTCACTGACCATTTGAGCTGGAGTCCAGCAGCAAGGAGGGGTCCAGGGAATTCATGTGGTGGGGGAGGGCCCTGTCCTCTTTCTCTGGGGGGCCCTGACCTCGCCCTTTGCAGCTCTGGTAAGTGGGAGGGGGTGGGATGAGGGACATGTTGCTGAGGACTGTGCCTGACTGAAAGCCACACTCCAGGGGCAGCCCTCTTCTGGGGCTGTCTGTGGCCTCACCACACCAGGAGATGGGAGCTTTTTAGAATTTATTTGTTTGGTAAACAGCATAAAGAAGTCTCCAAGCTCTGGGTGTTGGCTTGTCAGTCCAGACAGGCACGCAGCACTGAGCTGTTCCTCCCCAGAGCCATTCTCAGTGCATGCCTGACAGCGCCTCACCCAGGAGCATCAAACTTCTCAAACCACACCCACCGTCCTGCCCCCGCCATGGTGCTCCCGCCCTTCCCACTGCCCTTCACTGTTCTCAGGGCTGCTCTCGGGTGGGAGGAACTGGGCCTTTGGAGTTCAGAGACCATGATGTGAGCCCAGCCAGGGCTGCTGCGTACACTTGTGTACCTTGTGCCCCCAAACCCCTGGCAGATGAGGTTCTACTGTCCACTGTGTGCCCACAGGACTAAGTTCACCTAAAGGTGCCGTATGGGCTAGGGGGTCAAGGCCCTGCCATTACTCAGCGCTGTGAGCTTGGGAAAGTCGTGGCCTCCTCTTCAAGCCTGGCTTCCTCGCCTGTGAAATGGGGGTAATGGTGATTTTTGTTCTCCCAGCCAGCAGTGCTGTGTAATCCAGGAGACCTTGTCTAACACCAATTTTAAGTGAGTGTTCCATAAGCTCTGGGGGACCTGAGGAGACTGGCCTTTTGGGGCTTGGATGTGCCTCTCCTTCTCCCCTTCCACAACATTCAGCAAGGAGCACAATGCCTGACATATATGTATACACACATGTATGTATATACACATATATATGTATATAAGTGCTTAATAAATATTAGGCGCTCAATAAATATTTATTGAATGTAGGATGGTGCATCTGTACAGATTATGTTGGTGCTGTGGAGTTATCCTTAGTCGTAGTAGCTTGTCTCTCTCATTCTGAGGACTCTATATAGAGGGCAAAGTTCTATCTCCTCACTCAGAGCTGGGAATTCCCAGGTTAGGCAGGAGCCATTCTTCCCTTCCCCCTCTGTCACCTCAGCTATCTTGTACATAGCCACTGTTGCAGCTAAAACCCTTGTGAAATTTGGACTACATCAATCAGAAGTGATGCTGTGCATAATAAGATCACGGTAGGTGGGTGTGTGCTCATGAAAGAACAAATGTGAGTTACCATTGTGGCTGATGCCCACCCAAACAGCACCCTAAACCCAAACCAAGGCTAGTACTTCCTGGATAACCTGCTTTCTGAACTTAAAGGTGGCCACCAATTGTCTAAGAGAGAAGACCAAAGCCAGATAATGGGTCTAGGATAAGTTGATGCCAACCTATGTTCTCTGAGGGTAGATGAACTGATGTATTTATGAGAGACCAGATAACAAAAGCCAGGGACAGCAGAATTTCCCTGAGAAGAAGCATATTCCCTTGAGAATATGCTATTATTGAGAGCCTCTCTTTGTCCCCTGAGAGATACTGGCTGCCCATTCACAGAGACATTGAATGGTAAAATGGGAATGAGCATGGGCAGTGCTGGAACCCACAGTTAGTGTGGGTGATGATGGAATAAACTTGGATATGACTGGAATAAATATAAAATTTGTCAATAAATATTTAAACTGGAAAGATGCCAGTTTGTTGATAACAAGACCCTGCATGTTTTAGCAATGTGTCCTCAGACAGAGAAGACAGGGTCTGCCTGTTGGCTGGGACTCTGCAGCAGCCTGTTTTCCTCTCATTAGTGTCTTCCTCTCTTCAGGTGCAAACAAGAGCATAAAACTATTGGCTGATAGACTGGCTTCCCAATTTTCTTCCACCTGACTTTTCAGCTGTAGCCTGGCCTCTTTGGAAGATGATCAATACCCTGAGAGCCCCCTGGTTCCTTTCAGATTTCCTGCTAATTTTTTTTTTTTTTTTTTTTAAAGGGAATTCATTTTTTTTTTTTTTAAATTGGCCATTTTAACCTTTTTTTTTTTTTTTAAGATTTTATTTTTTCCTTTTTCTCCCCAAAGCCCCCCGGTACATAGTTGTGTATTCTTCATTGTGGGTTCTTCTAGTTGTGGCATGTGGGACGCTGCCTCAGCGTGGTCTGATGAGCAGTGCCATGTCCGCGCCCAGGATTCGAACTGACGAAACACTGGGCCGCCTGCAGCGGAGCGCGCAAACTTAACCACTCGGCCACGGGGCCAGCCCCTTTCCTGCTAATTTTTATAAAGGCTAACCCCTTCCACTCCCACCTCCCTACCCCCTACTCCTCCCCAAAACTACAACAACAACAAATCTGCAAGCATATGAGAAGAATCGCTTTAGGCTTTTAAGTAGAAGACTGGTTTCTCCCTAGGGACCACACCTGGCCTGCTGCCACGGTGAGTGAAGTGCTGTGCTCTGTGAGCTGACCTTGGATCACGTGGATGCTTCGGAAGGAGTAGTCAAGAGGGGGCTCCTGCACCGCAATGTTCATATAGTCCTGTTTGCTCATAGCTCAGGCCATCATTTGTCAGGTGTAAGCATGGGCCCTGGGAGTCCGGGTTCAGCCTGGGAGGACAGAGAAGGACTGGTGTTTCAGGCACAAGGGGCATTGGCCCTGAGGTTTCCCCACAGCCCTCCACTCCTGCCTTCTACCTCCACGTCTCCAGGCTTGCCTGGCTGCAGTTGTTCTGTTTTAAGATAGTAATCATGGTTCACTGCATTTGTAGGGCACTTCCTACTTCTCTGAGCACCTTGACATCCCTTAGAGCTCATGTGATGGTCATAACACCCGTTTCTGCTTTCCAGACAAGAAACGGAGACCCCAGGGTGAAAGCACTTGCCCAGAGTTAAGCCAATGAGTCAGCTGTGGACTGCAATCGTAGTCTTCTGAATCCTATTCTGAGGCCCCTTCTGCTACTCCACAGTAGTTACCATGGAGGCTGTCTTGGTACGTACCCTCTGGTGACATCAAGTGGGCCATTCTATTGCTTAATAAACCCCTGAGGGCCTGCACTGGATCTGGTGTCTGACAGCCCTTTGCAGTCTGACCCAGCTGGGGATTTGCTCAGCTTGTCTGTCAGCCCCATTATCTTTCCATCCAAAGACTACTTTCAGCCACATCCTGAATGTAGTCATATGTATATAAACACACATACACATAAAACCAGAGTCTATCTCACTCTCACTCACCTGTCACTGATGCCTGAAACTCCACCATTAGGGATTCATTCCTTTGGGTTCAGGGATTGTTCCCTGTTAAAATGGAAATACCCCCTGAGAGGGGTGAACACAATGTTATCAGTCATTTACAATGTGGTGTGAATTGTCATCAGATCCTTTCCAATTTGTTAGTTCAAGTAAAGCTGAGAATATTTCAAGAGACTGGGGAGAGCCATCAGAACACTACTCACCTGGGAAGAAGACGGCGGAAAACACTTTACTGAGGGGTTTTGTATATGACACATAAAAAACAAAAGACAAATAGACTGAGAGGTATGTGTCCCAGGCAGCCTCCCCTTTCTCATTCCATCCACTGCTGTCACCTTCTTTGCATTTACTACTTCACCTGCTTTCCAAACACACTCACAAAAGGGGATGATTTGTAAAATAGTGCTGTCCAACAGAAATATAATGAAAGTCACAAATGCAAGCCACAGATATTTTTTTCACACACATAAATTAAAATTGTCTAGTAGGCATAAAAAGAAAAGTAAAAAGAAACAGGTGAAGTTAATAATATGTTTTATTTAATATATCCAAAATACCATTCACCATGTAATCAATATTAAAAATTGAGATATTTTACACTTACAGCACATCCCAATTTGGACAAGCTACATGGCAAGTGCTCAATAGCCACATGTGACTAGAGGCTACCATACTGGACAGTGCAGATGTAGAACATGGAAACATGGAAGAGAAAGATTAGAAGCCAGATTAAAAGAAGAGAGAGATGTACAAGGGAATTAAGAAACTAAGCCTATTATTTAGTTCTGAAATTCCCGGCAGCCAAAGCAAAAAGGGAAACCTCAGGATATGTAGTTCTAATCATTTGATTCAAAGAAGCAAATTGTATGCAGAGACCATGGAATTCACAAATGTTCTTAAAATGGAATTTTTCTTAAAAATCATGGACCTGATAGCTTGTAATTCAGCTTTAGTACAGTTCAAGTAAATTCCTTTTTTGGTGACTTAACATATGCCAGGACAGAGTTTAACAGGTTTAGAGGAATGGAAAGTGAATGTCTTCTTATCAAAAAGCAGCAGTCTCAACTGAGCTTTGGAGAAGTGCTGGCTTGGGTCACTTCACAGCTGAATTCTCTGTCAAGTGCAGGACTGGCCTGGTGGGCATGGGCTGTTTAGGGAGATCTGAATCTTCTAGATATCAAATCTACAGACACAACAAAGAACACATTATCCTTTCGTACAAATAGAGGGACCTGGCTTGTGTTCTCACCTAGACAGAAGCCCATCCCACTTGAGTACCTACAACAGGTTTGATACCTGTCAACAAGATTGCGTACTTTTCTTAAAGTAAGTCCTGGGCTGGGACCCGAGTTCTGCACTACTGGACGTGAATTTTAGCTTAACATATTTAAGGGCAGATTTATATCATTAGTCTCCTTGGCCATCAGAGAACCTCAGTACAGTTCCTAAGAATTTCTGACTTTGTGTGGCAACAACTCCTGATGCAATTTTCTGGATGAGTTAGTATTAAAAATGGAGCCCCAAGTAGTTGGATAAATTTGCCATTTGGAAAGGATTGTTAGTCTTCTCCATTTAAACGTTAGCCCAGGCTGTGAGCTAGTACTGTGCCTTATTCATCATCTAACACAGAGCCTGGCTCACAACAGGCACTGAGGAAATGTTTGTAGGAGGAATGAATGAGAATCTGCCAAATACAAGAATTTCTGTTTTGGGAGTGTTGAAGCTAAGCTCTTCTTTCTAACAATTGGCTCCCAGGTTCAGCTGTTACAGTCCACACCTCATTCACAGTAAGATATCCAATTCAATTCTGCAAATATTTTTTGAGTGCCTGCTGCCCTGAGTCTGACCAGGAGGAATAAAGCCAAGATACAAATAATAGAGCCCTGTCTGTCATGAGCACAGAAAGGCCTGCTGGGTTTCTATTGATTGTGGCGAACTGGCCTGCATCCAGTTCTAAGAAACAGCTGCCTGCTTAGTGAATACTCTCATGTTTCAATACTCAGCTCTAGTGTACCTCTTTGATGAAGCCTTCCTCTCCAGATAAAATTGATCAATGTGTCCTGTTTTAGATGGATTCCCTTGATGATCCCTATTCATGGTCTCTCCTGTATCCATTCCTTGTTGCCCTATAACTTTGTACTTCCATCCACTCTAATGTTGGGCTCAGCCATGTGACTTGCTTTGGCCAAGGGGATGTTGGTAAATATGAAGCAAACAAAAGCTTAAAGAGCAGGCTTGCTCTCTTGCTCTTGGCCAGTGCCAAGAGAACATGGCTAGCCTGCTGAAGGGGTATGGGAAACACGTGCAGGTGAGAGAGACGTGAAAGAGAGCCAGTGATCCCAGCTGAGGCCATCCTAGACTAGCCTATAGCCAGCGTACCCCAAGTCAAGATCAGGAGAGTCATTCAACCCATAGATGACTGCAGACACACGTGTGAGCCTAGCCAAGACCAGAAGAAACATATGGCTGACTCAGAGACTTGGAAGCAATAATAAATGCTTATTGTTTTAAGCCACTATGTTTTTGAATGGTTTGTTATACAGCGATAGCTAACTGAGACAGGCCCCCACTATACTTTGAACAAAACTTTGTCACAGCCTGTTTCCTCATCTGTAAAATGGAGACAAACCTTATCTTGAGAGCTGCTGCAGGTCCTGCGGCAGGTGCTCAATAAATTGAAACAGTTGGACTTTCTACTCATTTCTTTACAACCTACTTCCTATTCCCTCCCTGTAAGCTTGAGGGCAGGGACAGACATCAGACTTCTCTCTCTCTTCCCACCATTACCCTGCAATGAGGCTCGCAAATAACGAGTATTCACTAAAGGCTTACTGGACAAGCAGATAAATGGAAAAATGAAAGAAGAAATGAAGGAATAAATAGTGTCATCAAGGTGTCACACAGTGAGCCTGACTGCTGGGGAGAACTGACAAAGCCCTGAGGTTGCCTTGCTCACGCCAGTGGCTGTGTTTTTGGAGTCAGTCTTTCCCAGCTGCTATTCTGCCTCACGACCAGAAGCTAGTCAGATCCCAGGGCCTTCCTCATCTGTCCAGAGTGACTGACTTGATAAATGACAAGGTTAGCAGCATACCTGCCTTGTTTTGGAATTTTTCTTTTCCAAATTGGAAATATCTTTTACTGTTCTTTTTAATTTTAGTTTAATTTAATAGCTGAATAAATTCAAACAACATAGAGAAGTACATCAAGTAGAAACTAAAAGTCTGAATCTCCATCTCACTCTCCAAGAAAAGTCATGATTAACAGTTTGGGAATATAACCTCCCAGATGCCATACGCAACAAAATTATGTCTATTTTTAAATAAACACATACTGTCTATTCTTTTGTAAATTTATTTTTTTCTTTTCAAATTGTTGTAGACTCTCTTATCCTTTTCAATAGCTGCAGAGTATTCCACAGAATTTGTGTGTATCTTACTTTAACTTTATTTACTTAATTTAATCAATCTCAAGTTGATGGAAATTTGTTTTCAGTTTTTGGAAATTACTAACAATCAGAATTTGATTTGTTGATAGCCTTTTCCTGCCCTCTGTCAGGTAAGTAGCAACATGATGGCACAGGAAGCTTTAAGAACGATCAGATAAGGAAATCTGATAGGAGATTCAATGGCCTGGCCTAGAAAGGGTTTCCATTTATGGGCTATGGGAGGAAGACAAATCAAAGAATGTCATGAAAAGTCTGCCACATAATCTAATATATTCTGGGAGGTTATATTCCCAGGTGCCAAAGGGAGGCCCAAGATTCAACCTGTCTCCTGCCCACCTCTCTACTCCCATCTCTTATCCTCGCCTCCAGTTCTGCAGTCCAGCCAAATGCAACTACTCAAAGTAAGTTCCCTGCACCTGCCTTTAGGCCTCTGCACATCCAGCTTTCTCTGCTTGGAATACAGAAACTCCTTTTGCCTTGCTAATTCCTACTTCACAACTCAGCTCAGGTTTCACCTTTTCTTAGTCCCAAATCTGGATGTGGAACTTCTCTTCTGGGCTCCCACACCACCCTATACTTACAGCCATGGTAGCACTCATGACACTAGGATTATCTGCTTACTATCTGTATGTCCATAAACTCCACCAGGGCAGGAACTGTTTTTCTCTCATAGCTGAATCCCTACAGTGGTGACAAGTAGCAGGTGCTTAACAAATACATAAAAACTTGCAACAGTGAATAATACTATAAAGGAGAGGGACATGAGGTTGCTATAATTGAGGGACTTGACCTGGTCTGAGCAGACCTGCAAAGACATTCCTAAAGAAGTGATTGAGAGAAATTGGAAGCATAAGTCCAAATTAACTATAGCAGGGGGAAAAGATGAACATTCCAGGCAGAAATAAGAGCATGGGCAAAGGCTCTTTGGTGAGAGGTTACCTAGAAAGTTTGAAGACCTTAAAGGTGGCCATATAACTGGAGGGGAGAAGGGGAGGGATATGTATGATTGGACTGGAGCCTGGAGAGGTGGGCAGGAGCCAGGCTGAGAGGTTGCTTGATGCTAAGAGCAATAGGAAGCCACAAGGTAAATTTTTAAATGGGGGTAGGGTGGGGGAAATGAACAATATCTAATTTGCATTTTGAAGGATTACTCTGGCTGCAGTATGCAAAATGGCTGGGAGGGAAGGTAGGAAAGACTAGAGAAAAGATACGTGGGAAGTAAAGCTGACAGGACTTTGTGATGGATGGGAAATGAAAGAGGTATTAAGGCTAATTCGGGTTTTTGGCTTCCTTAATGGTGAATAGAGATGAGAACACTGGAAGAGATCCAGCCTTGCAGTACATAGAGATTATCAGTTGCAGACAGGTTGAGTTTGGGTTGTCTTTGAGATATCCTGAATATGTTGAAGAGGCAATTGGCTGTATAGACCTGGAGCTTAG